AGCCCAGTGTGCCCAGGTCCCCTGACTGCTCATGCAGTGCCCCTTCCACCCAGCCATACCAGAACTCCTCACGGTTCCAGCCACTGATGACCCCGAGCGGTCTCCAGCCCAGCCTCCAAGGAGCTCTGGGCTGCTCTCATCTGCCAGGAGGGGTGGTAAATGATGGGATGAAGGCCACCAGGTTTCTGTCCTCACCAGTCCCCTGGCGCTTTTAATAAACAGGCTGCTTCTAAGTGCAAAGTCACTCTCTACTTCCAGCTCTCAATTAGTCGTGTCTCTCAGGCCCTTGGAAAGTCGGCTGAGCCAGCTGCCCGCTGTGACCTCTTCCAGGAGGGTTGAGTGGCTGCAACTCCCCAGATGACCACTGGAGGGAGCCTTAGGCTATGGACAGTGCTGGGAAGCTGTCCCCAGGAGGACTTCAGGGCTAGCAGAGGGGACCGCAGGCCCTGTCTGGGCATCCAAGAGTCCTCTGCACCTCTGCAGCTACCCACACCCCCAGCTTCGGCCCCTCCTGTTCTCTGAGGTCCCTGGGAAGGGAAGTATCCTTGGTCTCCATCCTCCACTGTCAACTGAGGCCTCAGCAGGGTGGGAACACAGAGGCTGGCTGGGAGAGAGAAAGAGACAGAGGGGAGACAGGACAGAGAACGGGAACAGAAGGGAGGGGCAGGAAGAAGGGGGGAGGGCGCCAAACAGGGGAGACTTGGAAGAGCAAGAGGAGGGGACCCTAAGAGGAGAACTCTAACGGCCTCCCCAACCTGCCTTCTGCAGTCCCAAACATCTCTCCCTCCCTCCCATCAGTGTCTGCCATCTCGTCCCCATCCAGGATTCAGGGTCAGAGCTGGGAAGCTCCTGGAGCAGAAACAAGAGAAGAGGAAGCCCAAGTGCACAGGATGGCGGCGACTCAACCCCTAGCCCCCACAAAGCTCTGCCCCTCTGACCCATGGCCTGTGGCCCTCACCTGGCTCTCACGGCCTTTATCTCCCCTGGGGATCAGCGCAGCTGATGTCTGAAGGACTGTCATTCGGAGAGATTCCCCTGCCCCTGCGGACATGGCTAATACTGCAGGGGAAAATCCAGTGGGGGACCAGGCAGCGCCTTCTGGGGCCAGCCAGGGCTGGCTTTCCAGGACAAGCCCTTCCTCGGGCCTCCCACCTCACTCCTGCCTTCCTGGGCCCAGTGACCAATGGAAAGAATAAGAAGCACGTGTGGTGGGCAGAGGTGACAGCTTTGGAGGGAGCCGTGTGCACCTGCTTCCTACCCGCCCCTCTGCTCCCAGCTCTGCAAATACAGGAGCCTCGGAGTCTGAGGCCTCTTCCCCAGCCTCTGCCACTCTCCGCTGCACTGCCCATCTTGTCCCCTAGGAAGGACAGCATGGCCTCCTGCAGGTCAGACTCAGTGGCCGTCTCCAGAGCTCATTCACTCAAGGCTGAGGCGCTGCCTGAGTGACCTGCTATTCCTCCTTCTAGAAACATCCTCACAAGCCGGGGCCCCTTGCCCACCTAGAAGTCACCCCTGGGTTCTCCTCCCCCCCAGGCTCGGCCTGCTCCAGGGGATCCTCTCTCCTCTCTTCCTTACACATTGTCGCTCCCCTGGTTGCTCTGGTGACCCTCCTCTCTCTGCCACGCCCGCGTGTCATGTGCCTGCAGCGTGGCCCACAAGTGCAGGGCAGGCCTCCTCTAGACAACTTTCCCAGGCCACAAGCCCTCGGTGCGGAAGTG